CTCAGTGGAATTGTATTCACCTCCTCCATCAGTTCTTAACCTACTAATTACTTCACCACTTTCATTTTGAACTAGCAGTCTAAACTTCTTAAACACACTCAACACTTCACTTTTCTTAGCTAACAAGTAAATCCATAATTTCCTAGTGAATTCATCTATGAATGTTACAAAGTAGTTATTTCCCCTACTGACCTTACTTCAAAAGGTCCACAAACATCTGAGTGAATTACCTCAAGTTTCCTTGTTGCCTTGAATGGTACCTCTGCTTTGTATGAGTTTCTGACCTGCTTTCCAGTGCAACATATTACACATACTTCTTCTGACACCTTTAATTTTGGCAGGCCTTGCACCATCTTCCTTTCATGCAGCACATCCAAATTTCTAAAGTTGATGTGCCCATATCTTTGATGCCACAACCAGTCCTCATGCTTAGTTTCAGACATCAAACACTGATCTTCAATTACATTCATGTTAATCCTGAATGTTCTTTGTTTTGACAGTGGAGCTTTAATAATCAGTCTACTTTTGTGATCAAAAACCTTCATGGTTTGTGCTTCCATCTTCATGGTGTATCCTTTTAGTAATAGTTGGCCAATATTGATCAGATTACTCTTCATGTTTGGCACATATAGTACATCAGTAATACAGGCTTTCTTTCCATCCTTCCTATTGATCAAATTTTTTCCAATGCCAGCTGCACATACTATGTTATTATCTGCAAATCTAATATTTTTGTTCACAGATTCGTCTAGTTCAAAAAACCAAGATTTCTTGCCTGTCATGTGATTTGAACACCCAATATCTAGGTACCATTCATCACTTCTTTCTTCTTCATCCTTGACTGTTACCATCAGTAACACTTCATCTGAATCTGAGCCTTCATTTTGAGCAAACCTAGCCTCATCCTTGCTCCTTGGTACTCTCTTTGATATGTATTCTGATGCATAATGCCCCCACTTCTAGCAATTATGGCACTGAATCTCCTTCTTAGTCTTTCCTTTCTTCACATATTGAGCTTGCAATGCTTGATCCAAAGATGCACCCTTTCCTCTTTCTTTGATCCTGTTAGTCAATCTTAGTTCATGTGCCTCTAGGCTTGCCTGCAATTCTTCTATCTTCATGGAGTCTAGATCCTTAGATTCCTCCAATGCAACCACAATGTGATCAAACCTTGGTGTCAGAGTTCTAAGGACTTTTTCAACCTTCATTACATCAGTAAACACTTCACCATTCTTTGTCATTTGGTTTGTGAGAGTGGTCACTTTGTCAAGGTACTGGCTGATGGTTTCCTCTTCTTCCATTGTCAGCATTTCATACTGCCTTCTTAGTGCTTGCAATCTTACCTTCTTCAACCTCCCATCACCAGCATACAGCTTCTCCATTGCATCCCATGTTTCTTTTGCACTTTCATAGTGCATGATCTTCTCAAAGATCTCATTTCTCAACCTTTGATGTATCAAGAACATGGCTTTCCCATCCTTCTTCTTCAGTTCTTTGTGAACAGTTTGTTGTTCTTCGGTTGCATTGGCTATCAAGACTGCTATGTCTTTATTCACTACTTCAAGAACTTCTTGAAACCTAAAGATCACCTTCATCTTCACGATCCATTAATCAAAGTTCTTACCTTCAAAAACTGGCAGCTGTGTAGAGATATTATTGCTGTGATTTCCCATCCTTCAAGAATCTTCTGACTGCAGCAATCGAACCGGGCTCTGCAATACCAATTTGATAGAACCTAGCATACACAGTGCTACAACCAATTGAAGAAGATGAATTATGAAAAGCTTTGATGATGTTGAAATAAGATGTTGAAACAAGATGATGAATAGAGAGTGTATTAAAAAAAATGGTTTGATTTACAATGTGCAGCATCATATAACTAACTGCATAGTACAATGTATTTATAACAGAAAACTAACTAATAATAACCTCCCTAACTAACTCATCAACTAACTAACTGAATTACATAACTAATAATGGTCATCACTGGTAGCAGTCCAAATGCCATAGAATTGATCAAAAGGAAGTTGAAAATGAGTTTGAAATGATTGACTTGGGCATATAATCTTTCTGGGATTTGAGTTTGTGTACTCAAAAAGTAGCATTTTTATGCATCAAAAGAAGTATATGCTAAAAGTCTTGAAGAAATTCAAGATGTTGGGATGCAAGTCAATAAAAACATCAACTGAATTGAATGTGAAACTGAAAAAAGGTGAAGATGAATGGCATGTTGATGGTACATTGTTCAAACAGATGGTTGGCAATCTAAGATACATATGCCACAGTAGACCTGAGATAACTTTCAGTGTAGGTTTGATTAGCAGATTTATGAGTGATCCTAGACACTCATACTTGATGTCAATCAAGAGAATCATGAGATACTTTAGAGGAACCCTGAGCCATGGCATTCTGCTTCCCATTCACAATGCAGCAGACAAAAGTCTACACCTTGTAACCTACTCTGACTCTGATTGGTGTGGTGATATAGTCGACAGAAGAAATACCATGGCACAACTTTTTCTGTTTGCAGGTTCCCCCATATCTTGGAGTTCCAAGAAATAGATTGTGGTGGCACTTTCAACTTGTGAAGCCAAACATATAGCAACATACTCAGCTGCTTGTCAAGCTTTATGGTTGTCTGCACTACTTAAGGAATTGAAACTTTAGAATGAAGAAGCAGTGAAGTTATTGATAGACAGCAAGTCAGCAATTGATTTGGCAAAGAAACATGTGTTGTGAGTAGTAATGCGCCTAAGAGGGGGGTGAATTATGTTCTTTGAAATTTTCTGGTTTTAAGAGGACTATGTTACTTTCTTTTTAATGAAGTGAGGATATGAAAGCTTGTAAAGGCAGAAAGTAAAAGAGACACAGAGAGTTATAGTGGTTCCTCTCACACCTCAAGGGTAGTCCATTCCCCTTTCAACACGAAAGAGATTTCTATAGTTAGGATCAATTGTACAATTTGCTCTAACCTATAGGAGATCAAAGGTTCTTAAAACACCTTTAAGATCTAAACACTAAGTGCAATGAGAACAATCCTCTCTAATGCACACACTTGCTTTCAACAATCCTGAACAGTAAGGGGAAACTAAAATACAATTATGAGTTTGTAAGATTTGTAACAATGTATAATTGGTAATCAATGCTGAGATTGAATCTTCTCTTTCAATGAAATTTCTACAAGTATCTAAGACTTATTGCTCAAGAATTTTCTTTTCAAAAGATATGAAATTTGATGCAGAAAATTCTTTGTGAAAATTGTTTAAAGAAAAAGTTCAAGAATCTTGATTGAAAGAGATTGTAAAGAATTGATGTAAAAGTTGGTTGTTTGAATTTTGAAAAGCTAGGTATTTATATCACATAAAAATCACTTGATGAAATCATGCAAATCTTCAGAAAAATTGATGAACATTTGTTATGTTTCAAAGGAAACATTTAACAGACATTTGAATGAAGAGATGCAATTTTTTAGAATGAATTTTCAAAATCGTTCAGTGAGCAAAAATTAATTGCACTAAGGTAGCAATCGATTGCACTTCAAAACAGAAGTGAAAACTGAGAATTTTTTAAGCATGCAACCGATTGCACTAAGACAGCAATCGATTGCTCTTCAAAACAGAATAAAAAATAGTTAAAATTTTGATCATGCAATTGATTGCTCTAAGAGTGCAATCAATTGCACTTTGAAAAACATAGAAAAATTCTGTTTTCAAAAGCTTGTGAGAGTGCAACAAGTCATGAAAATTGTTTTAAAAGTTTTGAGCAATTAGGACTTAAATGCTTAATGGATATTCTCATTGTACCTTCAGATGAGAACATCTTCAAAGTTGTATCTTTGTGTTGATGCTTGATGGTTGATCATCTTTGCCTTCTTGAGTGATTTGTCTTCATCAAAACAAATGTTGATCTATGAGGATCTTGATTTCACATGTGTCACATGGCAGGAGAAAACATATTAACACCAAATTTCATTTTTTCAGAGACCAAATAAGCAAGGGAAGGATCAAGCTTCAGCATTACAGAGCTGAGCTACAATTGGCAAACATTATGACCAAGCCACTGAAGAGTGAAAAATTCAAAGAATTGAGAAAGATGCTGAATGTTGTGTCTTTGTAACAGTTTTGAAATAAGGGAAGATGTTAAGAATAATTCAATATTGTATAGTCTTGTATTATTTGTCCCATGATATACAGCCATATGACTTGTACTTACACACACACACACACGCTTGTTCTGATATTGTTGTATATAATGAGTTCATTCTGAGAAAATACACAGTCTTATTCTCTTCATTCATTTCTTCATAATTGTCATCATCTTTTATTCATTACTATTGTTGTGTTAATACTCTAACATACAATTCAATAGTTTTTGTTACCGAAGTTAGTTAAAATTCGTAAAGAAAAAAACCAAGGGAAATACCTATATATATATATATATATATATATATATATATATATATATATATATATATATATATATATATATATATATATATATATATATATATATATATATATATATATATATATATATATATATATATATATATATATATATTCATGGCTTCACACTGAAACTGCTCATGGAGATAGGCTTTAATTGGGTAGTTTCAAAGTGTTCAATCCCAAAATTCACATAACTATCTGCATTATTAATTAGGTAGTTCCAAGTGTGCATAAATAAATTAGATTCGAAGCGCAATGGAAAAGTAGATTCGGATGCAAAGTTTCGTATATAAATGAGAGGTTTACTAATTTACACTCGTTTCTGTAAATTATAATAATGGGCACTATTTCATATACTTTTAAATTTATTCTTATCACATTACATTAAATATTTGTTTCCCTCTCTTCATAATTGGAAAGTTAGATTCTTATAATGTTATAATAATAATAGTAATGCCTATTTAAGTAGCATCCAAGAACACAACAACTTCATCATTCAAAAAGCCATCAGCAAAATTTGTGTGTATTGTTACTTTCCCTTCCTCCAACAAGATGCAAAGCAGGAAGATCAATGGATACCCACAAGAGCAATACTATGGTGATGATAGCTCGTGGATGGAAACTAAGGCTCAGCAGCTACAGAGCCAAGGATATCCACAGACACAGCAATATCCAGGCATGAAACCAGGTTATGGCAAGGATTCTGATTACTCCATGCCAAATCATGGCCATGACTCTAACCATAATATGTATTATCAGGACAAGCCTCATGGCCATGGCTATGGTAATGGCTATGATAATAATCATGGTCATGGCAATGGCCAAACATTCCCTTTTGGTGCTACCACTAATCACTCACCTCATCATGGTAAGCCATTCAAACACGGTGGTGGTGGCCACAAGGATTATGTCTCACAGCATGAGTATGAAGTTTACAAGGAAGAGCGTATCGGTTCTGGCGCGACCAAGAGGGATGAAGTGAGATATGAAAGGCGTGGAACATACGGAGGAGATGTTTATCAGGCCAATCCATATGGATACAATAATAACATGAATAATCCTAATGGTCATGGAACAAAAAAAGCCAACTGGACACTAAAAGGAGTCTAATATGCTTGGTTACTGATATTACTACCTCTGAATGAATCCAGGCAGTACTAATAAATGGTGTGCTTTGTTTTCTATTTTCTTGTTGTAATAAGATCATGGCCCATATAATATATGGTGTTTCATATATATGATCAATGTTATCTGTAACTCATTATGAAGCTATAATAAGATGCAAGTGGAGTTATATATTAGATACTGATTAATTATTAATTTGCTTCATCAAATCAAATTCTTTAACTCAGCATCCATATATAGTTGAGGGTGTACCATAACCAATAAAACAAATATATATACCTTCTTCCTAAGTTATTATGGTATTTAAGCATTTTTTTATTAGATTAAATATGCTTGTGATTCGGTTAAATATCTTTAATTTTATTTTTAATTTTTTAAAATATTTTTTAAAAAAATTTTCATTCATATTTTTGGTTTCTAATATTAAAATTGTCGTTAATTTAATAGTTAAATAAAAAGCTCCCGTCATAACCGTCAGTTAAGTTATAAAAATCGTCGCTAAATTGTCAGAAATTACTAAAAGTATAGATTAAGAATTTTAAAAATACTATTCTTTAAAAAAAAATTTTAAGAAACTAAAAACAAAATTTAAAATATTTAAGAAGATTACAAACATATTAATCCTTATTTATTTTCTACCTTTTATTTGCACCACTTGGTTTAATAATGCTAGGGATGCCATCATAACTCATAAGTCAGTTGTTTAAATAGAAATACCTAATTGGATTTTCCACTATTACACTAAGGCAAGCTATCCGATTTGATGTTTATGGTCATTAGTATATAAGATTTGTAAGGTTTCTTGGGCCTAAAAACTTCTATTACAGGATTATTGTCTAAATAGACAAGTTTAGAATATAATTTGTTCTAATATCTCAAAGTCTTCCTTCAATAATTTGTCTAGATCGGGTGTTTACTTATGTCAGGTACATGCGTTCTTGAGGACTTAAATCTTACTACGTCATTTACTTGACGTAATGGTGAGGTATTTATTGGGAGCTCCTCTCGATTTTATTGGTTCGAAAATGGGCTAGAATGTAGTGAGTCAATCATATTATTGGGTCGTGGAATACCGTTTGGGTGTGGCTTGAGATTTTGGACTACCTTTGTATACACTCATGTAGCCATTGTGTCAGCATCTCCAATGGTGCAATCCATTTTTAGGTTCTTTGTAGGACTCACTCTTTTAAAATAACTCATTCAATTTTCACTCCAATGGTGCAACTCTAAAGAATCCATATTGGGTCTCACCACTTTACTTAAAAAATATTATTTATATTAAATTTATTTTATTTAAAATTATAATTTAAATATTTAAATTTTAATTAAAATGATAATTAAAATAATAAATAAAATTTTATATTAAATTATAGTTTTTATATTATAAAATTAATATTTTAATATAAGAACCATTGAAGAACCGTTGCATATTTAAGAACTTTTCCATCTTGAAAATAACAAATATGAGTGCCATGTTAGCAAACCCACTCTAAGAACTCCCATTGGAGTTGGTCTTAGACTCTTGTTGGTCTCCGTTATCCAAGTCTGTCTTTAATCTTATACTTTTCTTTTTCATATTTTGAAACGAGTGTCCTTCAATGCTTCGTCATAAAAAGTCGGTTTGGTCCGATGTGGTATGGTTGAGTTCTGGTTGTTCATAATCTAGTTTCAACTTTCGGTGTCGGCCTTTTCTTATTGACTGTTGGGCCAGTTTAGTACTCTCGGTATAACTTACGTTGCAATGTTCCATTTTCCACAAGTTTGGGGGCTATTTTGGGATATTCCACTTTTTGTTATTGGCATCTGCGACTGTAATTTAATTTCTTAGTTGTAATGATTCGTTTGTGCCATCTGCGATTGTAATTTAATTTCCTAGTTTTACTATAGAACTATTGCTTCTCTTGTATACATTCTTGACTTTTTTTAATGTTAGTGATTGTTTATTATGATGTTTGGTAATCTATTTGTGGTGAGTGTTGATTTCTCTTTATTTTTTTCTTCTTTTAGTGTTTCTCGTTGTTGTGGAGTTTTTATGAAAATTGGTGTTATGATATAATCCAAGTTAGTTAGTTATTTTGTTAGAAAATTAGTCAGTTTGTTATGTTAGTTACTTGTAGTTCAAGTAACATACTTGTATATATACATGTATAGTGTAATTCAATTTTTTAACTTTTCTAATACAATTCTCTCTCTCTCTCTCTCTCTCTCTCTCTCTCTCTCTCTCTCTCTCTCTCTCTCTCTCTCTCTCTCATCTAAGTGTTTCAGCACTAACAAATTGGTATATAGAGCTTTTGATTCGTCTTTCTTGATCGCGTATTCAAGAACTGCACATTGGTGGTCGTGTTTCCAAGGATCGCCAATCGTGTTTGCTACAAAGATGAGTTGTAGCAATAGTATTTCCAATTCTTGATGGAAAAAATTTGTTCTAATAGAGTAAACACATGCAATAATTATTTAGTTTTCATGAAACTTAGATGTGGTTACTAATAACAATCATAAGTTTGCTTACAACACAAATGATGCTCAGAGAATCGTTCACAAGGATACCAAGAAGAAAGATTGCAAGGATGCATTGTGTATTTAATATGCAGTAGATGCGGCAATTTTTGATCGTATTTCTCATGCTGAATTGGTGAATGAGGCATGTGATATTTTTGTTATGTATTGCGAAAGAGGTGAGAAGGTTAAAGAAGTCAAGTTGTAGGCACTATGAATGTAGTAAGAGTTATTGCAGATGGGAGAAAAGGAAAAGGTTGCAAGCTATGTCTCAAAAGTGCAAAATTTTGTCCATCTCATGAAAGATTGTGGTGAAGTCATAACTGATAAGATGATGGTGGAGAAGGAAATGTATATGTTGGCCTCTCACTTTGATCATGTTATCGTAGCCATTCAAGAATCGAATAATCTTAAAACCTTGAAACAAGGATATTTGGTTGGTTCATTGGAGGCACGTAAGTTAAGGATTGTAGAGAGGAAATGGGTTTAAGATTTGATACAAGCACTGCAGGCTCAGACATGGAAGAAGCATAGTGGTTCCAATAAGTTCAAAGGAAAAGGAGACAAGACTTAGAGTAAGAAGTCTTGGGTGAACCCTAAAAAGAATAAGATTGATGATAGGGTTTCTCAATCCTCAAAAAGAGGAGAAGGAACCTCATATCAAAAAGATAAACAGGAGAAAAAAAGTGTTCAGTGCTATAACTATGAAAAGTAGGGTCACTAGTCCAAGAATTATTGGTACAAGAAATACAAGGGAGCGACAAAAGACAAGGATGATGAAGGAGCAAACCTTGCACATAGATTCAGATGATTCAGATGGTATGGTGCTTATGGTTGTAGTTGTGTATGAGCATGTTGACTCTAAGACCAGGTTCCTCGACACAGACTGCTTGAATCATATGATTGGTCGAAAAGTATGGCTATCAAATTTCGATGAGTTGAAGAAGAGCAAGGTCAAGCTTGAAGGTAATAGTTTGTTGCAAGCAGAAAGTACTGGCAACATAGTTACTCAAAGGAGTAATGGAGCAAAAGCTATGATCAAAGATGTACTATATGTATCTGGCATGAAATACATCCTGTTAAGTGTTAGACAACTGGTCAAAAAATGTTTCTCAGTGGTTTTGAGATATGGAACCTTAGAATTATTCAAAGTAAAATGGGTGTTCAAGATGAAGCATAATCTTGATGGGTCAATTGCAAGACATAAGGCAAGATTAGTAGCTTTAGGATTTCTTCAGAGAGCAGGATCCTATTACTTTGAAGTATATGCACCAGTAACAAGAATGAAGACTATCATATTGGTGATAGCCTTGGCATGAAAGCATGGCTTGTCGACATTTCACTTAGGTGTGAAATCATCATTTTTAATGGTCCCCTATATGAAGTAGTGTATTTCACACAACCTCATGGGTTTGTGATACAAGAGGAAGCAAGGAATATGTACAAGTTACACAAAGCCCTCTATGGTCTCAAATAGGCACTTAGGGTATGGAATAAGAAAATCGAAGAATACTTAATCGAATTTGGATTCATCAAATGCAGTTCTGAGTATGGTGCCGATGTACATGTCATGGAACAAGATATAACCATCATTTGCTTATATGTCAATGACTTGCTAGTAGCTGGAAATATCATGGAGAACTTTTTGAAGTTCAAAGAGATGATGAAGAGGGAATTGGAAATGTTGGATCTGGGAAACTTGTCGTATTTTCTAGGCATGGAATTTCAAATTATTAATCAAGGTATGATGATGCATCAAAGGAAGCATGTCAAAGAAATACTAAAGAAATTCATAATAGATGATTCGAATTCTGCATCCTCACCTGTCGAACCAAATCTGAAACCGGAGAAGCATGAAGAGGAGGACAAGGTTAGTGTCACTTTGTTCAACCAAATTGAAGGATCTCTGAGGTATGTGTGCAATAGCAACCCTATCATAGGTTTTTCAATCAGATTTACAAGAAGATACATGGATGAACCAAAGGTTTCAAACATGAAGGCATCAAAGAGAATCCTTAGATACCTAAAAGGATCAATAAATTATGGAATCATGTTTTCAAAGAGTCTGAAAGCAAACAAGTTGTGATTAATTTCTATTCAGATGTTGATAGGGGTGGAGATAAGAAAGATCGTAGAAGCACAACTAGTTATTTCTTTCAAGTATTTGCCTCCCCAATCTCATGGTGCACGAGAAAGCAACCTGTAGTGGCATTATCATCATGTGATGCTGAGTATAGAGCACAATCCTATGCTACTTTTCAAGTAATTTGGATCAGATCTATGCTGGATGATATGAATGTCAAAGTGAAGAAACCTATGGTGTTGCAGGTAAAAAACAAGTCAACCATTATTCTTGCAAACAATTTAGTTTTGTATGGAGTGAGTAACCACATTGAGGCTAGAAGTGAGGCATTGCTCAAGTGAAGCAATGTTGACCGACATTTTCACCAAAGGATTGAAGATCAACATATTCCTGACTTTGAGAAAGA